TGGGATTAAATCTGGAGTATCTGAGAGAGTTAGAGCAAAGGAAGGGGTAGCAGTAATGTTGAATGATCAGTTATGGAAGGAGAAAAGAGAATATGAATGTGTAAATTCAAGAATTATGTGGATTAAAGTAAAGGTTGGATGCAAGAAGTGGGTCATAATAAGCATGTATGCACCTGGAGAAGAGAGGAATGCAGAGGAGAGAGAGAGAGATTTTGGGAGATGTTAAGTGAATGTATAGGAGCCTTTGAACCAAGTGAGAGAGTAATTGTGGTAGGGGACCTGAATGCTAAAGTAGGAGAAACTTTTAGAGAGGGTGTGGCAGGTAAGTTTGGGGTGCCAGGTATAAATGATAATGGGAGCCCTTTGATTGAACTTTGTATAGAAAGGGGTTTAGTTATAGGTAATACATATTTTAAGAAAAAGAGGATAAATAAGTATACAAGATATGATGTAGGGCAAAATGACAGTAGTTTGTTGGATTATGTATTGGTAGATAAAAGACTGTTGAGTAGACTTCAGGATGTACATGTTTATAGAGGGGTCACAGATATATCAGATCACTTTCTAGTTGTAGCTACACTGAGAGTAAAAGGTAGATGGGATACAAGGAGAATAGAAGCATCAGGGAAGAGAGAGGTGAAGGTTTATAAACTAAAAGAGGAGGCAGTTAGGGTAAGATATGAACAGCTATTGGAGGATAGATGGGCTAATGAGAGCATAGGCAATGGGGTCGAAGAGGTATGGGGTAGGTTTAAAAATGTAGTGTTAGAGTGTTCAGCAGAAGTTTGTGGTTACAGGAAAGTGGGTGCGGGAGGGAAGAGGAGCGATTGGTGGAATGATGATGTGAAGAGAGTAGTAAGGGAGAAAAAGTTAGCATATGAGAAGTTTTTACAAAGTAGAAGTGATGCAAGGAGGGAAGAGTATATGGAGAAAAAGAGAGAGGTTAAGAGAGTGGTGAAGCAATGTAAAAAGAGAGCAAATGAGAGTGGGTGAGATGTTATCAACAAATTTTGTTGAAAATAAGAAAGTTTTGGAGTGAGATTAACAAGTTAAGAAAGCCTAGAAAACAAATGGATTTGTCAGTTAAAAATAGGAGAGGAGAGTTATTAAATGGAGAGTTAGAGGTATTGGGAAGATGGAGGGAATATTTTGAGGAATTGTTAAATGTTGATGAAGATAGGGAAGCTGTGATTTCGTGTATAGGGAAAGGAGGAACAACATCTTGTAGGAGTGAGGAAGAGCCAGTTGTGAGTGTGGGGGAAGTTCGTGAGGCAGTAGGTAAAATGAAAGGGGGTAAGGCAGCCGGGATTGATGGGATAAAGATAGAAATATTAAAAGCAGGTGGGGATATAGTTTTGGAGTGGTTGGTGCAATTATTTAATAAATGTATGGAAGAGGGTAAGGTACCTAGGGATTGGCAGAGAGCATGCATAGTTCCTTTGTATAAAGGCAAAGGGGATAAAAGAGAGTGCAAAAATTATAGGGGGATAAGTCTGTTGAGTGTACCTGGCAAAGTGTATGGTAGAGTTATTATTGAAAGAATTAAGAGTAAGACGGAGAATAGGATAGCAGATGAACAAGGAGGCTTTAGGAAAGGTAGGGGGTGTGTGGACCAGGTGTTTACAGTGAAACATATAAGTGAACAGTATTTAGATAAGGCTAAAGAGGTCTTTGTGGCATTTATGGATTTGGAAAAGGCGTATGACAGGGTGGATAGGGGGGCAATGTGGCAGATGTTGCAGGTGTATGGTGTAGGAGGTAGGTTACTGAAAGCAGTGAAGAGTTTTTACGAGGATAGTGAGGCTCAAGTTAGAGTATGTAGGAAAGAGGGAAATTATTTCCCAGTAAAAGTAGGCCTTAGACAAGGATGTGTGATGTCACTGTGGTTGTTTAATATATTTATAGATGGGGTTGTAAGAGAAGTAAATGCGAGGGTCTTGGCAAGAGGCGTGGAGTTAAAAGATAAAGAATCACACATAAAGTGGAAGTTGTCACTGTTGCTCTTTGCTGATGACACTGTGCTCTTGGGAGATTCTGAAGAGAAGTTGCAGAGATTGGTGGATGAATTTGGTAGGGTGTGCAAAAGAAGAAAATTGAAAGTGAATACAGGAAAGAGTAAGGTTATGAGGATAAAAAGATTAGGTGCCAGATAAGTGGAAAATGGCAAATGTAATACCTATTTACAAGGCAGGTGACAGGTCCTTAGCTTCGAACTATAGACCAATAAGCTTTACCTCCATAGTGGGAAAATTTATGGCATCAATAATTGCCAAGGCAATTCATAGCCATCTTGAAAGGCAAAAATTGATTAATGAATCTCAACACGGTTTTACAAAGGGGTGTTTCTGTCTTATGAATTTACTAACTTTTTTCACTAAGGTATTTGAGGAGGTAGATCATGTATTGAATATGATAATGTGTATATGGACTTCAGTAAGGCTTTCGATAAAGTTCCACATCAGAGGCTATTGAGGAAACTTAAGGCATCCGGAATAGGAGGAAAATTTTTTCCTGGGTAGAGGCATGGTTGACAAATAGGCAACAGAGTTTGCATAAATGGGGAAAAATCAGAATGGGGGCATGTCACAAACAGTGTTCTATAGGGGTCAGTGTTGGGCCCCTTGTTGTTCACAATTTACATAAACGACATAGATGAGGGAATAAATAGCAACATAAGCAAATTTGCTGATGACACCAAAATAAGCCGTCCGATTCAATCTAATGAGGACATTAGAGTACTCCAGGATGATTTGAATAGACTGATGCAATGGTCAGAGAAGTGGCAGATGCAGTTCAATATAGACAAATGCAAAGTTCTAAATGTTGGAAAGGATAATAACCATGCCACATATAAACTTAATAATGTAGATCTTAATATTATTGATTGCAAAAAGGATTTAGGACTTCTGGCTAGCAGTAACCTGTAACCAAGACAACAGTGCATAAGCATATGCAATAAAGCTAACAGAATCCTTGGCTTCATATCAAGAAACATAAATAATAGAAATCCTCAGGTTGTTCTTCAACTATATATATCCTTGGTTAGACCTCATTTAGATTATGCTGCACAGTTCTGGTCACCGTATTACAGAATGGATATAAATGCACTGGAAAACATACAGAGGAGGATGACAAAGTTGATCCCATGTATCAGAAATCTTCCCTATGAGGATAGGCTGAGGGCCCTGAATCTGCATTCTCTAGAAGGGCGTAGAGTTAGGAGGGGATATGATTGGGTGTATAAATGGAAAACAGGAATAAATAAAGGGGATGTAAATAGCATGCTAAAAATATCTAGCCTAGACAGGACTCGCAGGAATGGTTTTAAGCTGGAAACATTCAGATTCAGGAAGGATATGGGAAAACACTAATTTGGTAATAGAGTTGTGGATGAGTGGAACAAAATCCCGAGTACTGTTATAGAAGCTAAGACGTTGTGTAGTTTTAAAAGTAGGTTAGATAAATACATGAGTGGGTGTGAGTTGGACGTGACTAGCTGGTGCTACTGGATCAGATGCCATACCCCTTTCTTAAGTGGAGGTGACCTGACTGGGTGGGCCATTGGTGTAAGCTGGGGGTTGACGTGGACCTGCCCCGCATGGGCCAGTAGGCCTGTTGGTGTTCCTTCTTTCTTTCGTTCTTATGTGCTAGTTTTTGTCCCTCGTATCTCAATGGGGAAGTAGAACAGAATTCTTGCTCCTTAAGCCATGTGTGTTGTAAGAGGCGACTAAAATGCCGGGAGCAAGATGCTAGTAACCCCTTCTCCTGTATATATAACTAAACACAACACACAAATAACCCGCACATAAAAGAGAGAAGCTTACGACGACGTTTCGGTCCGACTTGGACCATTGACAAAGTCACACTGTCACAGTGTGACTTTGTCAATGGTCCAAGTCAGACCGAAACGTCGTCGTAAGCTTCTCTCTTTTATGTGCGGGTTATTTGTGTATCGTTCCAGTCACGGTATTGTGCCTTTTTGTTATTTATATATTACTAAAGTTTAACCCCTTGACTGTCCCAACCCCAAACCCTGAGGTGTCTTCTGGTGTCACAAAAATTAAAAAAAAAAATTATTTTTTTCTTATGAAATGATAGAGAATCTTTTCCTGATGGTAATGACACCAAAAGTACGAAATTTGATGTAAAACTTCTGGAATTACGCTCTCGCGAAGTTAGCGACCTCAACGATATTAACAAATCAGTTATTTCCCCCACTTGGAGCCCTATTTTCGGCTAATTCCATTGTTCCAGCCGACCAGACTCATAACTATTTCTTTAGAACTCCATTTGTTCTATTGATTGAGTAAAAGAAACTGCCCATTTACCGATTTCAACTACCCAATAAAGTGGTCAGACATTGGCAATTTGGCCAGTTTCATGCAAATTAAAAAATATGCCAATTTCAAAATAGGGTCCAGAATGAGCAATACAGACATTCTTGGCTCTAAAATAACATTTTCTTTGTTCATCAGTCACTTTTCCAGGCCCCTCTTGCTTTCCATTTTGAATTTTTATTCAATAGAAGATTTACTGTTATGCAGACTATTGCAATATTGTAATAATTGTATAAATAATGTCAACCCATTCATAACTGCATATTAGAATGGCTAGTTAGACATTTATTGGACAATAACATCATTTGTTTACTTTTGAACATTGGCAAAAATCAAACATTTCTCCTACTTGAGCTCCATTTCAAGGTTCTTTTCATAGTAAAACCAATCAAAATCATGTCTATTTCTATAATATGTTTTCCATTCTATCAAATGAGACCAAGAAAACGAGAATACAACCATAAATATTATACAAAAATAGACCACAAAGTCGGCGTTTTAATTAAAAAAAAAACTTTTTTTTCTCTCTCTCTCTCTCTCTCTCTCTCATTATGCACTGTGTGCTGCAGGATTTTTTTTATATGGTGCACTCTGACCACACAGACCCATTCTCTCACATGTGGGCCTACCAGCTTTCTCCTGCTTGATTTGAAGCCACTAGAATTTACGAGTATATATACATCAAACACAGTGGCTCATAAGACGTATATATACGACCGAAAGTCGAAGGGTTAAAAAGAGAAACTTTTGTTTTTCTCTTTTGGGTCATTCTGCCTTGGTGGTATACGGCCAGTGCATTGAAAGAAAGAAAGATATTTATTTTTAATTATTTATTTTACAAATTGACCGTCTCCCACTGAAGTAGAGTGACCCCAAAAAAGAAGAAACACTTTCACCATATGGCTTGCTGATACGTACTACTGTTCAGATGCCCCTCTAAAATTGCAAGTGGTTTTTGGGACCTGACAGTCTGGTAAAATATGAAGGGACTCAGGAAAACCAGTTGGCTATACTTGAGTCCTGGAGGTGAAAAGTGCAGTCTGCATTCTCAAGGAGGGGTGGGGATATTTGCAGTTTGGAGGAACATCTAAACTATATCTGTGCGCTTCTGGAAAAATGGTGGTGAAAGCATTTCTTTTTTGGGTCACCCTGCCTTGGTGGGAGACAGCCAGTGTGTTAAAAAAAAAAAAAGTTAGTCATAAACAAAAATCACGGCATCATGATTGGAAAACTGAGGCAACTCTTCAACTGTCGTATAGTGAAAATGTTGTAAAAGATCGTGTCTATTGTTTTTGTATATAATATATGAGGTATTGGGTAGATGGCGAGAATATTTTGAGGAACTTTGAAATGTTAAGGAAGAAACAGAGGCAGTAATTTCATGCACTGGTCAGGGAGGTATACCATCTTTTAGGAGTGAAGAAGAGCAGAATGTAAGTGTGGGGGAGGTACGTGAGGCATTACGTAAAATGAAAGGGGGTAAAGCAGCTGGAACTGATGGGATCATGACAGAAATGTTAAAAGCAGGGGGGGATATAGTGTTGGAGTGGTTGGTACTTTTGTTTAATAAATGTATGAAAGAGGGGAAGGTACCTAGGGATTGTCAGAGAGCATGTATAGTCCCTTTATATAAAGGGAAAGGGGACAAAAGAGACTGTAAAAATTATAGAGGAATAAGCTTACTGAGTATACCAGGAAAAGTGTATGGTAGGGTTATAATTGAAAGAATTAGAGGTAAGACAGAATGTAGGATTGCGGATGAGCAAGGAGGTTTTAGAGTGGGTAGGGGATGTGTAGATCAGGTGTTTACATTGAAGCATATATGTGAACAGTATTTAGATAAAGATAGGGAAGTTTTTATTGCATTTATGGATTTAGAAAAGGCATATGATAGAGTGGATAGAGGAGCAATGTGGCAGATGTTGCAAGTATATGGAATAGGTGGTAAGTTATTAAATGCTGTAAAGAGTTTTTATGAGGATAGTGAGGCTCAGGTTAGGGTGTGTAGAGATGAGGGAGACTACTTTCCGGTAAAAGTAGGTCTTAGACAGGGATGTGTAATGTCACCATGGTTGTTTAATATATTTATAGATGGGGTTGTAAAGGAAGTAAATGCTAGGGTGTTTGGGAGAGGGGTGGGATTAAATTATGGGGAATCAAATTCAAAATGGGAATTGACACAGTTACTTTTTGCTGATGATACTGTGCTTATGGGAGATTCTAAAGAAAAATTGCAAAGGTTAGTGGATGAGTTTGGGAATGTGTGTAAAGGTAGAAAGTTGAAAGTGAACATAGAAAAGAGTAAGGTGATGAGGGTGTCAAATGATTTAGATAAAGAAAAATTGGATATCAAATTGGGGAGGAGGAGTATGGAAGAAGTGAATGTTTTCAGATACTTGGGAGTTGATGTGTCGGCAGATGGATTTATGAAGGATGAGGTTAATCATAGAATTGATGAGGGAAAAAAGGTGAGTGGTGCGTTGAGGGTGATATTCTATGGAGGCAAAGAAGGGAATGTATGAAAGTATAGTAGTACCAACACTCTTATATGGGTGTGAAGCTTGGGTGGTAAATGCAGCAGCGAGGAGACGGTTGGAGGCAGTGGAGATGTCCTGTTTAAGGGCAATGTGTGGTGTAAATATTATGCAGAAAATTCGGAGTGTGGAAATTAGGAGAAGGTGTGGAGTTAATAAAAGTATTAGTCAGAGGGCAGAAGAGGGGTTGTTGAGGTGGTTTGGTCATTTAGAGAGAATGGATCAAAGTAGAATGACATGGAAAGCATATAAATCTATAGGGGAAGGAAGGCGGGGTAGGGGTCGTCCTCGAAAGGGTTGGAGAGAGGGGGTAAAGGAGGTTTTGTGGGTAAGGGGCTTGGACTTCCAGCAAGCGTGCGTGAGCGTGTTAGATAGGAGTGAATGGAGACGAATGGTACTTGGGACCTGACGATCTGTTGGAGTGTGAGCAGGGTAATATTTAGTGAAGGGATTCAGGGAAACCGGTTATTTTCATATAGTCGGACTTGAGTCCTGGAAATGGGAAGTACAATGCCTGCACTTTAAAGGAGGGGTTTGGGATATTGGCAGTTTGGAGGGATATGTTGTGTATCTTTATATGTGTATGCTTCTAGACTGTTGTATTCTGAGCACCTCTGCAAAAACAGTGATAATGTGCGAGTGTGGTGAAAGTGTTGAATGATGAAAGTATTTTCTTTTTGGGGATTTTCTTTCTTTTTTGGGTCACCCTGCCTCGGTGGGAGACGGCCGACTTGTTGAAAAAAAAAAAATATATATAGGGAGCCACTGTATCTGATGCAAAGAGAGATTGGTGGAAACTCTAGGTAGGAGCGGCCATAAGGCCACCCTACAGATGCTTATTGATTTGCAGATACAGTATACTTGAGCATACTAGGGAGTTTAATTTTAATTAATTTTACTGTTGTTATTAATCTTTATACTGTTATTATTATTCTAGTATCATTAGTTCTGTTACTGTTTTCAGCATCTTTTTTTTTTTTCACTATATACCTACATTTAAAAAAGTGCCCAGTCAGATACAGATTCCAAGCACTCTCACTTATTAAAATAATTACCTTTTGATAATTAATAGTTGCAAGAATTCTATTTCCTGACACATTTGTTTAGTTTATTTGTTATAATTTATTTTTCAACAGGAGGAAGAGCCTGATGAAGATGAAACTTTTGCTCTGGTGTCATCAGTTAAGAAAGTTTCCATCTTTTATTCCTGCCATAACATGGGTCCTTGCAACATCTGGGACTCTCTCTATAAAAACATAATTTATGCTGTGGATAACAGCAAAGTGCTACCAGAAGAGGTACATAAAATTAAAGTATTTGAAATTGTATGTAGATAAATGAATGCTGTAGGAATGAACATTTTTCATGCATTTTTAGTAATTGCTTCCCTTGCCCACAAGGGGCTTGGATTTCCAGCAAGCGTGTGTGGGCGTGTTAGGAGTGAATGGAGGCAAATGGTTTTTGGGACCTGATGAGCTGTTGGAGCGTGAGCACGGTAATATTTTGTCAAGGGATTCAGGGAGACCGGTTAACCGGACTTGAGTCCTGAAAATGGGAAGTACAATGCCTGCATTTTAAAGGAGGGGTTTGGGATATTGGCAGTTTGGAGTGAGTGACTAAACTGTCGTATCTGGGCGCTGCAAAGATAGTGATTATGTATGAGTGATGGGGAAAGTGTTGACTGATAATGAAAGTTTTTTCTTTCTTTTTGGGTTTTTCTTTCTTTTGGGTCACCCTGCCTTGGTGGGAGACAACAGTCATGTTTAAAAAAAAAAAAAAGCGTCTTCAGTCAAAATTTTAATTAAATTATCTTGGCTTTGTTAAAATATCATGGAGATAAAGTACTAGTTAAGAGTGGTGAAGGGAAGTAGATTGTTCCAATGATTGTACCTTTGAATAACCAATTAATATGGTTGTTCAGGAAAAAAAGAAAAGATATTTTAATATTTAAAGATGTAAATGGTAAAGTTTTGAAGAGTAAATAAAATTGTTGGTTATTTGGTGGTGGTATAAATCCATATTTCAGATATTCCATGCTATATTGCCTGCACTTCTTTGTCTGCTGTGCTGTGGCCATATTTTATTCTGGAACAAATATACATGTATATGTTCTTTGTAAAAATCATGCCAGTCACAACAAAATGCAGCAGAAAAAATATAAGGAAATATTTAGCAATGCATTTACTAGGAAAAGTACATGACACAATAATAGAAGTATGAATCTTTCAACATACCAGCTGTATCCCACCGAGGCGGGGTCGCCCCAAGAGGAAAAACGAAAGTTTCTCCTTTTACATTTAGTAATATATACAGGAGAAGGAGTTACTAGCCCCTTGCTCCCGTCATTTTAGTCGCCTCTTACAACACACATGGCTTACGGAGGAAGAATTCTGTTCCACTTCCCCATGGAGGTAAGAGGAAATAAACAAGAACAAGAACTAGAAAGAAAATAGAAGAAAACCCAGAGGGGTGTGTGTATATATATGCTTGTACATGTATGTGTAGTGTGACCTAAGTGTAAGTAGAAGTAGCAAGACGTACCTGTAATCTTGCTTATTTGTGAGACAGACAAAAGACACAGCAATCCTACCATCATGTAAAACGATTACAGGCTTTCGTTTTACAGTCACTTGGCAGGACGGTAGTACCCCCCCTGGGTGGTTGCTGTCTGCCAACCTACTACTTAAAAGAAGTATGAATATTAATTAAAAAATAAAATACTTAAGAACTACAAATCACAGCCTTAGCACAGCAACACTTCCACGCCCTTTAGCATCCCTCTATCAGTACCACTCGATCATATTGTTATTATATTATACTTTAAAAGGAGCAAGGGGCTTGTAACCCCTTCTCCTGTATATATTACTAAATTTTAAAGGAGAAACTTTCATTTTTTCTTTTGGGCCACCCTGCCTCAGTAGGATATGGCTGGTTTGTTGAAAGAAGAAAGATGATTATACTTTAAAATGTACATTACAAGACTGAAGATAACTTGCAGTGCATACATACCTTGAGCCTTGGCCCCTGCAGACATGAAAATCCAGTCATTACCAGTACCCACTGCGTCTGCTGTCTGATCTGGCTGGCGATTAGATATGTGGATAGATAATGGTAAAATATTACAAGTGGAAATAGATACAGCTGAGCTTTATCAAGTATGATAAATCCCAGCCTCGGGCAAAATATTGTATTTAAAAGATTGTCTGCTACCAGTTTCTTTATTGCTGTATATAGTAGTTCCCCATATCTGCAGGTGATACATTCCAGAAACTGCAGGTAGTAGTGAACCCTATGTACAAGTCTTTTTTGTTTACATACATACCTATGGCGAAGTTTAATTGATAAATTACACACAGTAAGGCATTACCAACATTAAAGAATAATAAAATGCATTCTTTTCTCACTTAACAACGGAGTTCCGTTCCTAAAAGTAGGTTTAAATGTTTATACAGTAGTGTACTGTATCTTTCTTTCAACACACCAGCCATATCCCACCGAAGTGGGGTGGTTCAAAAGGAAAAACGAAAGTTTCTCCTTTTACATTTAGTAATATATACAGGAGAAGGGGTTACTAGCCCCTTGCTCCTGGTATTTTAGTCGCCTCTTACAACACGCATGGCTTATGGAGGAAGAATTCTGTTCCACTTCTCCATGGAAGTAAGAGGAAATAAACAAGAACAAGAACTAGAAAGAAAAGAGAAGAAAACCCAGAGGGGTGTGTATATATATTCTCGTACATGTATGTGTAGTGTGACCTAAATGTAAGTAGAAGTAGCAAGACGTACCTGAAATCTTGCATGTGTATGAGACAGAAAGAGAAGACACCAGAAATCCTACCATTGTGTAAAACAATTACAGGCTTCCGTTTTACACTCACTTGGCAGGACGGTAGTACCTCCCTGGGCGGTTGCTGTCTACCAGCCTACTACCTAGAAGTGTACTGTATATTGTAATAAAAGAATAGAGGAAATCAACACTAATATACATTACTTAAGTATGAATACTGGTCAGAGGGCTGATCGTAAGTCCGAGCGGTTGTTAAATTAAATAAATACGTCGTTAAGTGAGGAGAAATTGTACATTCCTCCTCCATCACCATCGCCTCCACCTCCTACTCTGCTGCCACCACCACCACCTTTTTTTTTTAATTTTGTGTAAAATTGGTCAAATTACTGACTTCTGTGCACTTTATAGCATGTTGTATTTTACAGCAAACAAGACGCTTAAGTGTTGAAAACAGCTACCCCGATTTTGACTAGCTAAATTTTGGAAAGAAAGATAAATGGTATCCATGGTAGCAACGTTATGTTAAGCTTGAGGTATTACGTATAAAAGCTCATGTTGATGGTTCATTCTGTGGTTGTTTACAACTGATTCAGCTGACTGGCAGGGTTGCCAAATGAAATTTTCAAATGGCACTAGACTCTTGCCTAAAATGGGCTTAAACACACTAAATTTATGTGAACAGCACTAAAAAAAAAAAACACCATTATACAGGTGATTATTCTATATTTGCTAAATCCTAGTCCTGAGCTTTAAAGGTTCTTATATCCAGAACTGTCAGCAAAATGTTCTTTGCAGAATAATGAACAATATTCAGCAATGAACAAAGACATACATATTTCCCTCTGTTCTTACAATATCACTTAGTTTTCTTGTGCTTGGCAGTATTTTTTTCTTTCAGTGTCACTCAGTTTAGCTGCTGTTGAACATTTGCAGGACATTATCACTCATATGAATCACGTACAATACATGAGCTGGACCTGACTGGCCATGTTCTCTTTCTACTCACTGTCTCGACGTGTGCAAGTGTATGTGGTGATGGCTAGGACTGCATGTTGATTTGTGATGGTTTTTCATGTGTTTTAAAATTATTTCATATTTGTTTTTAAGTTTATTGATTTTACTATTTAACCCATTAACTGTCCAAACGTAGATCTATGTTCTCTCGCCCAACGCCCTATTTTGAATTTTTATTCAAACAAAAAATAGAAGATTTACTGTTATGCAGACTACTGCAATATTGTAATAATTGTATAAATAATGTCAACCCATTCATGACTGCATATTAGAATGGCTAGTTGGACATTTATTGGACAATGACATCATTTGTTTACTTTTGAACATTGGCAAAAATCAAACATTTCCCGTACTTTGAGCTCCCTTTCAAGGTTCTTTTCATAGTAAAACCAATCAAAATTACCTCTGTTTCTATATGTTTTGCATTCTATCAAATGAAACCAAGAAAACGAGAATACAACCATAAATACTATACGAAAATACACCACAAAGTCGGCATTTTAATAAAAAAAAAAACGGTTGGAGTTTTTTTTCTCGTTATGCACTGCGTGCTGCAGGATTTTTTTTATATGGTGCACACTGACCACACCGACCCATTCTCTCACATGTGAGCCTACCAGCTTTCTCCTGCTTGATTTGAAGCCACTAGAATTTGAGTATATATACGTCAAACACGGTGGCTCGTAAGACGTATATATATGACCGAAACAGTCAAAGGGTTAAAGAGGGCAATTTTCTGTGTGTAATAAGACCAAAAAAAAAAAATTTTTTTAGGACCAGTACTTACCAAGATATAAGACCGCGAAGTTGGTTCTGGATGCTCACCTGTTGGCAACATGGAGTCCTGGTGCGTGCAGAAGTATTGCCGATATACCTTTTTTTTTTTTTTTTTTTTTTTTTTCTAATTATTTTTATAATTTTTATGTACTGATAATTACAATTTATAGTAGTTCTTGTGATTTCATAGCCAATCTTAGTTCTGACAATAATATTAGGTACTGAAATTTTACTCAGTCACAAACACACTGACAGGTGAATATTTTCACCTGCCTTGGTCATTTACTATTGTCTAGAAATATATACCAAGTATTTATAGGTCCCACTAATGTTTTAGACATGTGGAAAGTTTTATATGAAACTCCTTGAAGCATGGTGTAAGACTGAGTGCCACTAAACTGCTGACAGTGCAGCAGTGGTTTGACACTTGATCGTGCATTGCTGCAGGGAACCCCTGGCTTTGTTTATTTTAACTGTTACACATAAACATATGTCTGCTTATCTTTCTGTCTGCCTGTGTGTCTGTCTTTCTGTCTGCTTGTCTCATAGAGCAGCTTCTAAACCAACAGGATGCAGAGTCGTCAGACTTGTCACGTCTGATTACTGATCAAGTGAAGTGCTTATTACTTGCCAGTCGTGCTTATTATGCCTTATATCTACAAGCACAGTATAACACTTTATCTGGATATTTTGGGTTATCCTAGGTAATTTACACTATGTATAATTGTATTTGTGTATCTGAGAGATAGAGACAAAGATAGATACAGACAGAGATAAAGAGAGAGAGTGACAGACAGACAGACAGAGATAGACAGCCAATCAACTAGCCAGCCAGTCGGCTAGTCAGTCAGCCTGCCGAACACATATTACGTGTTCCAGAATTTTCTTTTTACGTAGGGCATAGGTTACAGGACATTCTGGCAGGATGACACTACCAGTGGTATCGAAATTGAAAGAATGTTGCACATGGGTTATTATCGAGGTTTTTGATATTTCCTCGACCACTTGTGGCCACATCTACCTCAGAGCCACTAAACTCGGGGTCAACATCACTTTCCTCTTATAAGGGGAGCGTTAATACGACGGATGGATTTATGAAGGATGAGGTTAATCGTAGAATTGATGAGGGAAAAAAAGGTGAGTGGTGCGTTGAGGTATATGTGGAGTCAAAAAACGTTATCTATGGAGGCAAAGAAGGGAATGTATGAAAGTATAGTAGTACCAACACTCTTATATGGGTGTGAAGCTTGGGTGGTAAATGCAGCAGCGAGGAGATGGTTGGAGGCAGTGGAGATGTCCTGTTTAAGGGCAACGTGTGGTGTAAATATTATGCAGAAAATTCGGAGTGTGGAAATTAGGAAAAGGTGTGGAGTTAATAAAAGTATTAGTCAGAGGGCAGAAGAGGGGTTGTTGAGGTGGTTTGGTCATTTAGAGAGAATGGATCAAAGTAGAATGACATGGAAAGCATATAAATCTATAGGGGAAGGAAGCCGGGGTAGGGGTCGTCCTCGAAAGGGTTGGAGAGAGGGGGTAAAGGAGGTTTTGTGGGCGAGGGGCTTGGACTTCCAGCAAGCGTGCGTGAGCGTGTTAGATAGGAGTGAATGGAGACGAATGGTACTTGGGACCTGACGATCTGTTGGAGTGTGAGCAGGGTAATATTTAGTGAAGGGATTCAGGGAAACCGGTTATTTTCATATAGTCGGACTTGAGTCCTGGAAATGGGAAGTACAATGCCTGCACTTTAAAGGAGGGGTTTGGGATATTGGCAGTTTGGAGGGATATGTTGTGTATCTTTATATGTGTATGCTTCTAAACTGTTGTATTCTGAGCACCTCTGCAAAAACAGTGATAATGTGCGAGTGTGGTGAAAGTGTTGAATGATAATGAAAGTATTTTCTTTTTGGAGATTTTCTTTCTTTTTTTTTGGGTCACCCTGCCTCGGTGGGAGACGGCCGACTTGTTGAAAAAAAAAAAATCAGTGAATCCCAGGTGTTTACTGTGCTGTTTGCTCTAACTGGTGCTCAGTTGAACTGGTGCTCTCACAAGGTACTAACTGGTCCCAAATTTTTTAATACTGCACACACTTAGTGTTAAGACCCATTCTATGCTAACCAGGCATCTCAGGCCAGTCGTGCCAAATTTGGAGGCAGGAAAAAATAAAACATAAATCTACGTTTGGACAGTTAATGGGTTAATACATTTGTACTACAGCATGACCAAAACAAACCTACAGCATGCAAATGGTGGCTTTTGTGTATTACTGCCGTATGCTACTATGTATCATGATTTGAACCCCTTTTAACATAACACAGTTTTACTTTTGTTTTTTATATCTGATGTTCCTTTAATATCAGGATCGTTTGAAGTGAGTAAAAATGTTATAACTGGGTGGTTTGATGGTAAACATGCGAATTAGCCTATTGATACTACCCATAGGCCATCCAACTCCATCGCCTGGTTTACCTTAACCTACCGCTGCTAAGAGACAACGAATTTTTCAATTATTTAGGATTATTTTTATTCATTATTTTATTCAAAATAGTTTACACGATTCATTATAAGAAGCTTAGATTACTATCTAGTATCAGAACACTTCTCTAGTCTTAGGTTGGGGGTGATGAGCAACATAAAATTTGGCCTCCAAGATGCTGGGTAAATTTTCTATACTTGAGAAAAAATGTCTTCGATGCCATAAAATACAGTAATTGAAATAGTTGAATGGAGCAATGGAATTGGCTTAAAATAACACTCAAAGTAGGTAAAATAGCCAATGCGTAAATTGCACTGCGACTGCTAACTTTGTGCCTGTATATTTCCATAAGTTTCCCATCAGATTTTGCACTTTAGTGTCGTTACCTTTAGAAAATGATTCTCTACCATTTTCGAAGAAAAATAATTTTTTTTTTAAAGTGGACACTGAGAGCAATGTTAATTTTGGAGGCCTGGATAGTGAAAGGGCTGTTTAGGTTATTTGTGATATATTACTCTGATTTTTGCTCTATTTAATATATATTTTATCAGTTTTTCGTTCTTTTTAATATAAATTTCATCTGATTTTTGTTCTTTTTAATATATATTTCTTCTTAATTTCAACAGGCCACCAAATATTGCATATCCTCTTGCTTCTTTGGAGTAATGTGGGAGTTGCATCAAATAGAAGACATGAATGAGAAAAGAGCAATTACACATGATGCTGTTGAAGCTCTTCGGATGAGACTCAATCAGTTCCTAGAGGCATGCAAACATCTGCTGGCAAACTCCAATAATTCTGTCTTCCGAGAGGAGGTAAGCATGCCTTTAAAATATTAATGATGGCTTGTCCTCCTCCACTACAGAAGAGAATAACTCTTTGCTTTCTATATTTGGTTTCTGGACAGCTAACAAGGTGTTCAAATCCCACAGTGAACCCCTACAACACCTGCTAAGACGAATTGTGAACACCATACAGCAAGCAGAGTGTAAACAATATACAGTCAGCGTAGTATAAACACCATACAGTCAGCACAGTGTAAACACCATACAGTTAGCAGAGTATGAGAGTAAACACCATCCAGTCATGACAGTACATATTCAAACTCCATATGGTCAGTAGAAGATGAATATAAACACCATCCAGTCAGCATAGTATGAGTGAACACCATTTAATCAGTAGAGATAGTGTAATGTTCCTGGGATAAAGGACAGGAATTTCATGAGCTGGGCTTAATTCTTATTAATGTCATGAGACAAAGGGAATTGCAGCAGTCATAGTAGTGCTGAAAATGTAAATGTTAATATATCACATACATAAAATGGTAGCATCTCTCTGAATGACTACTGTGTACCAGCTTCCTGCCTGTTAAATTCAGCACTGTATTTAGCACTTCATTTAATTATATTATTACCTGTTAAAGCACACATTTACTGAGGTCAGGTGAGAGGGGCTTATTATCTACTTTATCAATCATATTTGAAGAAAATAACCAATGAAATATAGTGTGCTATTTAGGTTTTTTGCTGCACTTGTTTGTGATTTACTGGTCATTTCAACTTGCATATACTAATACCACACAAGATAATATCACAGTTGTGCATTAATTTAATCAATGCATTTATTCCAGGCCTATGTGACTATTTGTGACTTGTTAATCATCTTCAGCAGGCAATTGACGTCAAATAATGCACTAGCATCTCTTGTCTATGAGCCTGACCGTGGACTTCAGCATCTCCTTAACCACTTTATCCAAACTTATGTTTTTATTGATGATGAAGATGGTAAGTTGGATTAAATCTTTTCTGTAATTAAAGATTTATCATAATTCTTTTGTTTTGTTGAAAACTGAAACTATTTCAGAAGTTCAGATAGCATTACTAAATGATATAATTAAGGAAAAAAGGTGAGTGGTGCGTTGAGGTACAGTGGACCCCCACATAACGATATTAATCCGTTCTGAGAGCTCATTGTTATGTGAAATTATCGTTATGCGAATGAATTTTCCCCATAAGAAATAATGGAAATCAAATTAATCCGTGCAAGACACCCAAAAGTATGAAAAAAAAAATTTTACCACATGAAATATACATTTTCCTACACACAAAGAGAAGGATACATGCACAATAGTAGAGTAGTACATGCACAATATATATTGTGCATGTACTACTCTACTAAATGAAGAATAAATGACACTTACCTTTATTGAAGATGCAGCAATGACTGATGAGACAGTGTGTCCTGGGAGTGCCTTTTCCTCCTGAGTACTGTAGGTCCTGTTTGGCATTTTCTTCCAGAACAGGCCTTATCACACTGTGTATGCCACTACGATTCTTAAATCTCTCAAACCAACCTTTGCTGGCTTTAAATTCACCAATATGAGCACTAGTTCCAGGCATTTTTCCCTGTTCACCTGGGTGTTAGTCGATTGGTGTGGGTTGCATCCTGGGAGACAAGATTAAGAACCCCAATGAAAATAAGTTAGACAGTCTTCGATGACACTGACTTTTTTATGTTATCCTGGGTGGCTAACCCTCTGGGGTTAATTGTTTCTTGGTATTCTCAATAAGCCACACCAACAACGGTGCTACAGCAGCAGCAGCAGCTGACAGTGCTACAGCAGCAGCAGCTGACAGTGCTACAGCAGCAGCTGACAGTGCTACAGCAGCAGCAGACATTGCTACAGCAGCAGCAGCTGACAGTGCAGCAGCAGCTGACAGTGCTACAGCAGCTGACAGTGCTACAGCAGCAGCAGCTGACAGTGCAGCAGCAGCAGCAGCAGCTGACAGTGCTACAGCAGCAGTAGCTGACAGTGCTTCAGCAGCAGCTGACAGTGCTTCAGCAGCAGCTGACAGTGCTTCAGCAGCAGCTGACAGTGCTACAGCAGCAGCAGACGGTGCTACAGCAGCAGCAGACGGTACTACAGCAGCAGCAGCAGCTGATGGTGGTACAGCAGCAGCAGCAGCTGACTGTGCTACAGCAGCAGCAGCAGCAGCTGACAGTGCTACAGCAGCAGCAGCAGCTGACAGTGCAGCAGCAGCAGCAGCTGACAGTGCTACAGCAGCAGCAGCTGACAGTGCTACAGCAGCAGCAGCATCAGCAGTTGACCATGGTACCACAGTATTTCGATAATATTTCTCACCCTTTTTACAGGGTTGGCATTAGAAGCTTTCTTGGGGCCCATGGTCACTTATTTTGCAGATAAAATCACCAAAAACACTGTAATAATACGAAATGTTCCGATTGTATGCTTGGATGTTACCGCGGAGGCTGGCTTGTAAACAATGCCACCGGCGGAACATGTGAGGCTGGCTCAGGCCGCACATTAGACGCATCTCGGACGAATAGCGTTGAGCGGGTTTTTTAGCGGTATGCGAGGCAAAATCTTAGCGATAAAATGTATCGGTATGCGGATTTAACGTTATGTGATGCCAACGGTATGCTAGGGTCCACTGTATATGTGGAGTCAAAAAACGTTATCTATGGAGGCAAAGAAGGGAATGTATGAAAGGATAATAGTACCAACACTCATATATGGGTGTGAAGCTTGGGTGGTAAATGCAGCAGCGAGGAGACGGTTGGAGGCAGTGGAGATGTCCTGTTTAAGGGCAATGTGTGGTGTAAATATTATGCAGAAAATTCGGAGTGTGGAAATTAGGAGAAGGTGTGGAGTTAATAAAAGCATTAGTCAGAGGGCAGAAGAGGGGTTGTTGAGGTGGTTTGGTCATTTAGAGAGAATGGATCAAAGTAGAATGACATGGAAAGCATATAAATCTATAGGGGAAGGAAAGAGGGGTAGGGGTCGTCCTCGAAAGGGTTGGAAAGAGGGGGTAGAGGAGGTTTTGTGGGCGAGCGGCTTGGACTTCCAGCAAGCGTGCATGAGCGTGTTAGATAGGAGTGAATGGAGACGAATGATACTTGGGACCTGACGATCTGTTGGAGTGTGAGCAGGGTAATATTTAGTGAAGGGATTCAGGGAAACCGGTTATTTTCATATAGTCGGACTTGAGTCCTGGAAATGGGAAGTACAATGCCTGCACTTTAAAGGAGGGGTTTGGGATATTGGCAGTTTGGAGGGATATGTTGTGTATCTTTATACGTATATGCTTCTAAACTGTTGTATTCTGAGCACCTCTGCAAAAGCAGTGATAATGTGTGAGTGTGGTGAAAGTGTTGAATGATTATGAAAGTATTTTCTTTTTGGGGATTTTCTTTCTTTTTTGGTTCACCCTGCCTCGGTGGGAGACTGCCGACTTGTTGAAAAAAAAAAAAAAGTTTACTGAGTATACCAGGAAAAGTGTACGGTAGGGTTATAATTGAAAGAATTAGAGGTAAGACAGAATGTAGAATTGCGGATGAGCAAGGAGGTTTTAGAGTAGGAATGGGATGTGTAGATCAAGTGTTTACATTGAAGCATATATGTGAACAGTATTTAGATAAAGGAAGGGAAGTTTTTATTGCATTTATGGATTTAGAAAAGGCATATGATAGAGTGGATAGGGGAGCAATGGAATAGGTGGTAAGTTACTAAATGCTGTAAAGAGTTTTTATGAGGATATTGAGGCTCAGGTTAGGGTGTGTAGAAGAGAGGGAGAATACTTCCCGGTAAAAGTAGATCTTAGACAGGGATGTGTAATGTCACCATGGTTGTTTAATATATTTATGGATGGGGTTGTAAAAGAAGTAAATGCTAGGGTATTCGGGAGAGGGGTGGGATTAAATTATGGGAAATCAAATTCAAAATGGGAATTGACACAGTTGCTTTTTGCTGATGATACTGTGCTTATGGGAGATTCTAAAGAAAAATTACATAGGTTAGTGGACAAGTTTGGGAGTGTGAGTAAAGGTAGAAAGTTGAAAGTGAACATAGAAAAGAGTAAGGTGATGAGAGTATCAAATGATTTAGATAAAGAAAAATTGGATATCAAATTGGGGAGGAGGAGTATGGAAGAAGTGAACGTTTTCAGATACTTGGGAGTTGACATGTCGGCGGATGGATTTATGAAGGATGAGGTTAATCATAGAATTGACGAGGAAAAAAAGGTGAGTGGTGCGTTGAGGTATATGTGGAGACAAAAAACATTATCCATGGAGGCAAAGAAGGGAATGTATGAAAGTATAGTTGTACCAACACTCTTATATGGGTGTGAAGCTTGGGTTGTGAATGTAGCAGTGAGGAGGCGGATGGAGGCATTGGAGATGTCCTATCTAAGTGCAATGTGTGGTGTAAATATTTCGCAGAAAATTAAGAGCATGGAAATTAGGAGAACGTGTGGAGTTAATAAAAGTATTAGTCAGAGGGCTGAAGAGGGTTTGTTGAGGTGGTTTCGTCGTTTAGAGAGAATGGATCAAAGTAGAATGACATGGAGAGCATTTAAATTTGTAGGAGAAGGAAGGCGGGGTAGGGGTCGTCCTCAAAAAGGTTGGAAGAAAAGGGTAAGGGAGGTTTTATGGGCGAGGGGCTTGGACTTCCAGCAGGTGTGCGTGAGCATGTTCGATAGGAGTGAATGTAGACGAATGGTATTTGGGACCTGACGATCTGTTGGAGTGTGAGCAGGGTAATTAGTGAAGGGATTCAGGGAAACCAGTTATTTTTATATAGCTGGACTTGAGTCCTGGAAATGGGAAGTACAATGCCTGCACTCTAAAGGAGGGGTTCAGGATATTGGCACTTTGGAGGGATATGTTGTGTATCTTTATACATATATGCTTCTAAGCTGTTGTGTTCTGAGCACCTCTGCAAAAACAGTGATTATGTGTGAGTGAGGTGAAAGAGTTGAATGATGGTGAAAGTATTTTCTTTTTGGGGATTTTCTTTCTTTTTGGGTGACCCTGCCTCAGTGGGAGACGGCCAACCTGTGAAAAAAAAAAAAGGTGGGTAACGTGCTTGTATGTCATGTTTCTTCTTTACTCCAGACACACCAGTGAGTCTAAAGTATGGTCTCCAACTATTTCATTCTCCTGTATGTTCTTTGTATATACTTTTGCTTGTTTCTGTAAGGTGTAGAGTATAGTATCTCTCATGAAGTTAAAACATACAGGAGTAGAATGAAATAGTTGGAAACCATGCCTGAGGCTCGCGTGTGCACAGTGTTAGGAAGAAACATGATTTGCAAGCAGACTTCTTAATGTTTTAAGGCATCTGTAGCTGAGTGCTTTAAGGTATAGTGTTGGGAGCTATGCTACACTTGTGAACAACGGCCAGTGTGGGCTTGAATCTTGCTGGCTTCGATATTTGTATGTGTGCACATGCATTCATACGTGTAGGTGTGTGTATATGTGCATGTGTGAGTGTATTCACCTGTGAGATTGTTGGGGTTGAGCCACAGCTCCTGGCCCCACCACTTTGCTGGCCACTACTATGTCCACTCTCCTTGCTCTGAAAGCTTATTATACGTCTTCTGATAGATATGTATAGATCTCTCTTCTATTACTTTACTCTCTAGATTGTTTCTCTTCCTGACAACCCTAAGACTGAAGAAATACTTCCTAACATCACTCTGACATATCTGAGTTTTCAACTTCCAGTTGTGCCCTCTTTTCTCTGTATCCCATCTCTGAAACATTGCCCCTGTTCACTTTGTCAATTCTTTCAGTATTTTGTACATCGTTATCATATTTTCCATAGCTCTTGTGTCCTCCAGTGTCATCAGGTTGAGTTTAATTAATCTCTCCTCATAGGGCATACCCCTTAGTTCCGGGACTAGTCTTGTTGCAAACCTCTGATGTATTTGACTGGGTGTGGGTTCCATACTGGTGCTGCATCCTCCAAAATGGGCAAGTGTGTGACTGAACTTGCCTACCTCACCTAATTGTGGTTGCAGGTGTCAAGTCACAGCTCCTGGCTCTGCGTCTTGACTGGTCACTACTAGGTCCTCTCCCTGCTCCATAAGCTTTATCATACCTCTTCTTGAAGCTATGTATGGATCCTGCCTCTATTACATCACTGCGTGTGTGTGTGTGTGTGTGCGCGCGCATGCATACAAGTTGTGTGGTGTAAATATGCATAGAATTCGCAGTGTTTAAATTAGGTGGTGTGGAGTTATGAAAAGTATTATTCAGAGGAGTGAAGAGGGGTTATTGAGGTGGTTTGGTCATTTAGAGAGGGTGGAGCAAAATAGGATGACTTGGAGGGTGTATAAATCTGTAATGGAGGGGAGGAGGGGTAGGGGTCATCTTAGGGAAGGATGGAGGGAGGGTAAAAGGTTTTGTGCGCAAGAGGCTTGGACATGCAGCACGCTTAAGTGAGCGTGTTGGGGGTGGAGATTAATGTTTTTGGGACTTGATGAGCTGTTGGAGTGTGAGCAGGGTAATATTTTGTGAAGGGATTCAGGGAAACCAGTTAGCTGGACTTGTCCTGGAACTGGGAATTACAATGCCTGCACTTTAAAGGAGGGGTTTGGAATATTGGCTGTTTGGAGTGACATCTAAACTGTCATATCTGAGCACCTCTGCAAAGACAGTGATTGTGTGAATGATGTTGAAAGTGTTGCTTTCCTGTTTGGGTCACCCTGACTCGGTGGGATATGGCTGGTTTGTTGAAAGAAGAAGAAAATTAGTTAACTAGTTATTATACATCCATACTGTATATACATATATATATATTTTTTTTTTTTACAGAGGAACAGGATGAGCATGTCAAGATTGAGGAATTGCACAAGCGCAGGAATTTCTTGGCTACATTTTGCAAGCTAATTGTGTATAATGTGCTTCCTACAAAGGTTGCTGCAGATGTTTTTAAACATTATGTCAGAGTAAGTTCCAGTTATTAAAGAAAGCCTGAATATGATTTAGTGTTGTTGAACTCTTCAGAGAGTCAGAGAAACCAGTTAGCCAGACTTGAGTCCTGGAGGTAGGAAATACAGTGCCTACACTCTGAAAGAGGTGTAGGGATATTTGCAGTTTGGAGGGACATTTGAACTGTAGTGTCTATGTACCTCTGGCAAGGCAGTCTTGGAGTGAATGATGGTGAAAGCGTTTCAATTTCAAGTTACCCTACCTCGGTGGGAGATCGCCAGAGAGATATTGAAATTGTGTGTGCACGTGTTGTGTTTTTGTGTATTATATTGTGTTTGTGTTGTGCATGTGTGTGTTGTGTATGTGTATTTTGTTGTTTTTGTGTTATGTTGTGTGTGTATTGTGTATGTGTTGTGTGTCCTGTGTTGTGCATGCGTGCGTTCGTGCGTGCATACACTCGCGCACACCACATACACCATGCATGCACCCCCACACATGCATACATATATACACTATGTGTATATATAAAATTCTCTTTTCAAGTACTATGATGACTATGGTGATATCATCAAGGCAACTTTAGGCAAGGCTCGTGAAATAAACAAGGTCAACTCTGCAAGAACAATGGCTCTGGCTCTCACAATGATCTTCAGAGACCTTCAGAAGGATAATGTTAGAATCAACAGGCAAAGTTCAGACTTCATCAGTCTAAAGGTGAGAAACATTGTTGTTGTTATTTCATGTATTATTATGCATTCCTTCTCTTAACTACCTTTCTGTTGCTAGGTTTCTGAATGCTGTCTTTTAAATGGTTCTTCATATTTAGTTGAGACTTACAGTGCTTTCATATGTTAAAGTAAATATTTTTCTTGAATTTGGGTAGTGTTGCCTCGTGGTAACTATTTGGAAACCTGTTAGTCGTTTCACCACATTTACGGATTCCATATTCATGATAATTGATTCAGAATTTTTGCTGATAGATAACCAGTGAAAAACTTCATTTATCTATATAGATCTTGACTTTCCTTGTCAGGGGGCTCTAAATAAAATCCCCCCCCCCCCAGTGTCACATTTAACCCTTTCACTGTTCAGACCCCCAATCTTTGAAACTTGTCCACATGTCCAAAATTAAAAAAGAAAAAATTATTTTTTTTTTATGAAATGATAGATAATCTTTTTCTGAAGGTAATAAAACAAAAAGTATGAAATTTGATAGAAAATTGACAAAATTATGCTTTCACAAATTTTGCTGCATCAGCGATATTTACGCATCGGTGATTTTGCTCACTTTGAGTCCTATTTTAGGTGAATTACAGCCTCTCTTCACTTAGCGACATATTCATTTACCAACCGCTTGGACTTACGACCAGCTCCCCAACCAGTATGCAAACCTAAGTAATGTATATAAGAACTGATTTCCTCTATTCTGTTTATTACAGTATACAGTACACTATTGTTTAAACATTTAAAAATATACTAGAAATGTTATAAATGGTGCAAAGGTGATATTAAAAAAATATCTAAAGATGGTTGACACAAACCCACTACCAGTATAGTATACTCCACGCTTTATGACCAATTCGCTCACCAACCTACTCTTAGGAATGGAACCCTGTCATTAAGTGAGGAGAGGCTGTACATTGTTCCAGTCAACGAAATTCTTAACTATTTTGCTAGTATATCTCCAATCAACTATTTCAACTACCCAATAATGTGATCAGAAATTGGTAATTTGGCCAATTTCAGACAAATTTCAAAATATTCCAATTTCAAAATAGGGTTTAGAATTAACAGTGTGGGCATTCCAGGCACTAAAATAACATTTCCTCTGTTCATTAGTTGCATTCCCAGGCTTAATACATGATTTTATTTTTTTTATCCAGAAAATCATCAATATCCCACTGTCGCAGTGTCACCTAAAAAGAAAAACAAAAGTTTCTCTTTATAGCATTAGTAATATACAATAGACCATAGTTTAATATGGTTTTGTTTGGCACGTTTTGGTTACAGCACCATTGAAAAATTGCGGCTTATTTTTGTGTAACCCTCAATATACACACTGCTTGGCTGTGGGTTAGGTCATTGAGTCAGTGGGGGAGACTTACTGCCACCCTTTGCCACCCCCACCACCCTTATCCCAGCCTTCAGTTCATACGTGTGTAGTACATACCAACCTCTGCTAGGAGTTAATATCTTATAATTGCCATGTCTTAAATCTGCCAAGCAATCATGGCACCCAGTAGGCATACAAGTGTTGTGAAAGTGGCAAGAAAAGGTTTAAGTGTTAAAGTCTTAGAATTAACGAAAAAAAATTGAGATATTAGACAAGACTCGACTCGGTGGTGTGGTTTATTAGACAAGAGATAGCCTGTGGCCCTAATGAAGCGTCACTTTGTGCACGTAAAAATAATGAGGTAGATATGAGTTTGTGTGATGACTGACTTGACTGATTTACTGACACTGACTGTATTACTGATTTGACTGATTGACTTACTGACTTAACTGACTGATTTACTGACTTGACTGATTTACTGACTTGACTGACTGATTTATTGACCTGATTTACTGACTTGACTGACTGATTTATTGACCTGATTGACTGATTTACTTACTGACTTAAACTTTTTCACTGAAGAGGACCCTGAAACTGTGTCTAGAGCAGCTGATGTCTTACTGTCAGTTACATAATGTACTGAAGGGTAAAATAGAACAGAAATTAACTTTAGTACCATTACCTCTGCCATCTACCTCAGGCCAGTAGGGCCACAGCATAACTCTCCACAGTCGTCCACAAACACCAGCACCCACAATTAACTGCAATTACATATTCACTTTTATTTTTGTAAGATCTGGAGGTCTAAAAAAAAAAGTTGTTTGACTTTTTTGGGGCTCCCAGGAATGTAACCCTATTTTTCCCATAAGTTCTTCAGTTTGTCTAACACGGTTTTAACTAAAACGGTGTTTTCAGGAATCTAACTACCGTGTTAACCCTTTGAAGGTCGCCAGGCCCTCTCAGAGACTTGTTCTCAGGGTCGACAAAATTTCAAAAAAAAAAATTATTTTTTCTTATGAAAAGACAGAGAATCTTTTCCTGATCATAATGACACCAAAAGTATGAAATTTGATGGAAAACTTACGGAATTATGCTCTCACGAAGTTAGCGGTCTCGATGATGATCATGCATCGGCGATTTTGCCCACTTTGAGCCCTATTTTCGGCCAATTCCAGTTTACTAGTCAACAAAAATCATAATATTTCGCTAGAACTCCGTTTTTTCTATCGAATGAGTACAAGAAACCACCCATCTACCTATTTCAACTATCCAATAAAGTGGTCAGAATTTAGCAATTTTGTCAATTTCAAAAGATGCCAATTTCGAAATAGGGTCCAGAATAAACAAGAAAGACATTCCTAGCACTAAAATAACATTTCCTCTGTTCATTAGCCACATCCCCAGGCCCCTCTTACATTTCTTTTGCTTTCCACTTTGATCTTTTATTCTCACAAAAATAATAAGATTTGCTGTTATGCAGACTACTGCATTATCGTAGAAATGGTATAAATAATATTGGCACACTTGTGAAAGAATATTAGACTCGCCAGTTGACGTGTATTGGACGCTTGGCATGATTTGTTTACTTTTGAACTTTGGTAAAAATCGAACATTTTTGCTACTTTGAGCTCAATTTCAAGGTACTTTTCATTGTAAAACCAGTCAAAATCATCTCAATTTCTGTAATATGTCTTCCATTCTATACAATGAGACCAGGAAAACTAGAATACAACAATAAATACCATACGAAAATACAGTGCAAAGTCGCTGTTTTAAACCAAAAACACCGTCAGTTTTTTTATCATTACGCACTGTGTGCTGCAGGATTTTTTTATACTGCGCACACTGACCACATAGACCCATTCTTTCATATGTAGGCCTACCAGCTTTCTCTTGCTAGATTTGAGGGCGCTAGAATTTATGCGTACAAGTACGTCAAAAACCCTGGCGCGTAAGCCATACTAGTATGGCTGAAACCCCGAAAGGGTTAAACGACGATCTACTGTATACAGAAGGGGTTACTAGCCCCTTGCTCCTGGCATTTTAGTCACCTCTTACAACACACATGGCTTATGGAGGAAGAATTCTGTTCTACTTCCCCATGGAGATTATAATACAGCTTCTCCTCACTTAATGACGGAGTTCCATTCCTAAGACTACATCATTAAACGAATTCATCGCTAAGTGAGGGGCATCAATCTTGAATAGATTGATGGACTGACCACATCGACTCAAGGTTGAGGGACTGATTACCTCATTCTCCTCCTGTTCTTCAAGATTCTCCTTTGTATGGACTGATGAAGCCACTGTGTGGCGAAACGTTTCCTCAATAAAGATACCCAAGAGTTGCACACGTGTCTAATTTATCAACATGTCGGTTCTCTGAACCATTCATCTATTGAAAGGGTTAATTCAGTTTACTGTGTTATCTGTACTTATATGATGTTTGTATTGACATGAGCCTTATTTAGTAGTAAAGTTAGTATAATTTTCATTTCAGGAGTTGGCAAAGAGATTTGCTTTGTCGTTTGGTCTTGATGCTGTAAAGAATCGTGAAGCCATCACTGCTCTTCATCGTGAGGGTATACTGTTTGCTGTTAATCCACTGGAGAATCCAGCAGATCCTACAGGCCCTCCACCAAATTTGGCTTTTCTTGAAATACTGACAGAGTTCACAAATAAACTTCTTAAACAAGACAAGAGAGTTGTGTAAGTATTTACTAACCATTACCAGATTCCTTGGCTTTGCATGACTGCAAGATAAGTTTGCTGGTATGCAGTTTTGGCTTCAGATGGAAGTAGCCAACAGCTCACCATACTAGGGAATATGCAGAGATGCAGAGTATCAGTATTGTTAAGTATCCTCTGTTTTTATGGTATCAATACCGGTCAAAAAGACAATACGTTTAAAAAATACAGTAGAACCTAGTTTTAACGGACTCCCATTGAATGGATTTTGGATTTAATAGGCAAAAAGTTTGGTATAAATTCAGTGGACAAAATGAGAAAAGTCTGTTTCATTCACTTGTAATTTGAATATAGTTACCATAGTTTAAAAAATAAAAATACTGCAAAAGGTTCAGTATCTGAATTGGTTTAAAGCTTAGCAATGAGATTGGTAAAATTTCGTACAGTCCCATCCCTACACCATAGTAATCAGTAAGATGAATGAATTTCATGGGAAACTCTTTTTAAATATATAATTCTAAAGTATGTTTTGGGAATAATACTGGGGTGAGGTTCCTTTTAGCCAGTGCTGCTGATTTTTTTGTTAATAAACATGTCGGGGGACAAGTTTAGAATGATAGTTATAGCCAAGTTTTTTTTTTTTTTTAACTAGTTCCTTGAGTTTGTATTTCTTTCTCAATGTGATTTATCTTGTCTCTTTTGCATTTTTACCAGCTTTATGATGTTTATGTATAGAAAGTGATGGTAGGGTAAATGAATTCATGGTTAACCTCTTCGGGGATTTGGACGTACTAGTACGGCTTATGCACCAGGGTTTTTGATGAACTAGTACGCATAAATTCTAGCGCCCTCAAATCTAGCAAGAGAAGGCTGGTAGGCCTACATATGAAAGAATGGGTCTATGTGGTCAGTGTGCGCAGTATAAAAAAAATCCTGCAGCACACAGTGCGTAATGAGAAAAAAAAATTGACCGTGTTTTTGGTTTAAAACAGCGACTTTGCACTGTATTTTCATATGGTATTTATGGTTATACAGTGGACCCCCGCATAATGATCACCGAATGCGACCAATTATGTAAGTGTAATTATGTAAGTGCGTTTGCACGTGTATGTTTGGGGGTCTGAAATGGACTAATCTACTTCACAATATTCCTTATGGGAACAAATTCGGTCAGTACTGGCACCTGAACATACTTCTGGAGAGGAAAAATATCGTTAACCGGGGGTCCACTGTATTCTAGTTTTCCTGGTCTCATTGTATAGAATGGAAGACATATTACGGAAGTGGAGATGATTTTGATTGGTTTTACAATGAAAAGTACCTTGAAATTGAGCTCAAAGTAGCAGAAATGTTCAGTTTTTGCCAAAGTTCAAAAGTAAACAAATCATGCCAAGCGTCCAATACACGTCAACTGGTGAATCTAATATTCTTTCACAAGTGCGCTGGTATTATTTATACCATTTCTACACTAATACAGTAGTCTACATAACAGTAAATCTTCTATTTTTTGTGAGAATAAAAATTCAAAGTGGAAATCAAAAGAAATGTAAGAGGGGCGTGGGGATGTGACTAATATTAGAACAGAGGAAATGTTATTTTAGTGCCAGGAATGTCTTTATTGTTTATTCTGGACCCTATTTGGAAATTGGCATCTTTTGAAATTTGTGTGAAATTGGCAAAATTGCTAAATTCTGACCACTTTATTGGATAGTTGAAATAGGTAAATGGGTGGTTTCTTGTACTCATTCGATAGAAAAAACGGAGTTCTAACAAAATAGTTATGATTTTTGTCGACTAGTAAACTGGAATTGGCCAAAAATAGGGCTCAAAGTGGGCAAAATCGCTGATGCGTAAACATCATCGAGACCACTAACTTCGCAAGAGCATAATTCCGTAAGTTTTCCATCAAATTTCAAACTTTTGGTGTCATTATGATCAGGAAAAGCATCTCTATCTTTTCATAAGAAAAAATAATTTTTTTTTTTGGCAACCCTGAGAACAAGTCTCTGAGAGGGCCTGGCAACACTCAAAGGGTTAAGTAGCACTGGAATAATATAGCATGTATGTGCATTGTATTCAAGATTAGGTGATACCATTTCCCACTGTAACTCATCATTCAGTTCCCTAAGGCACAAATAGCAATTAGTCTTAAGACTCATTCCTGATAGAATTTCAGTTTTCATGTAGGCATTTTGTGTGTTGTGTAGGGGGCACTTTTACTTCAAAGTAAAGTAATTAAATTTTTCTAACATGTTTTACTCCCTTTCAGTCTTGCATACTTGGATCGCCGCATTGCTGCTGGGATGCCTAGTTCACGTGGTGAAGATTGGCAGCCTCTTCTTATGTACCGTAATTCCTTGGTGCATGGAGAGGGTGATCAGCCACCGCAAACTTCTAAACGTGCATATACACGGAAACGCAAACATGGTTAGTTATTTGTATATGCATACAGCTTGGGGGGGATGGCATCACAGTAGAATAGGGTTTTTGTTGAGTGTCTTAAGTTTTACGTGATCTGGTTGTATTTCAAATATTGAAATTATTTTCTTGCCTAATTGGCTGTCAGTGGTAAATGCAGAATTACCCAAAGAAGAAAACACATTGACCATCATTCATTCAGTCATTGTTTTGTTATAAGTGTGCTGATATCACAATTCAGATTACCCTCTGACTTGAATATCCACACCCCTCTTTCAGAGTGGAGGCACTGTCCTTCCCCACCCTCAGAACCCAAATGTAGCTAATCGGTTTCCTTTAATATCTATCTAAATGTTACCTTATTCACTCTCCAGTGGCACATGCATTAAAAACCACCTGTCTTCATTCACTTTTATCACACTCGCACAAGTTTGCTTGATGCTGAACCTATATGTGTATATTAGGACATTTTTTTTTATCAAAATCTTATATAAATACTCTGCACCTCTAATAAATGTGTAAGTAAATTTTACCTATATTTTTTTTTCCTCTTTTTTTTAAGAGGTTCACCACATTTAAAATCTTCCTCAAGAGGAATCTATCTGTAATTTTTAAAAGGCTTTCAAAAATGAATTTTACAATAGTCCATCCCCGTATAGTGGGTGATATGTTCCAAGATCTACCACAAATGCCCAAAACAGTGGATAGTTGTGAAACCTATGTATAAATTGTTTTTATTTGCACATATACCAGTGTTAAAGTTTAATTGATAAATTGCACACAAAATGACATTTCGACATTGATGGTTGGGGATTGTTGATATTGTACACGGTGTGTTTTTCAACCTTTTGGAAAACATCATATTAGGAAGTTGTATCTTTTTACCTCATTAAACACTTGCTGGAGAAGTTCTAATGCTTCAGTGATTATGTGGGCAACATTAATGCTGCATTCCATCATAGGATCGTAATCCATGATTTCTTTTCCTTTAAAGTCTGTACAATCCGAAACACTTAACCAAAGTTTTCCAGTGTCTACATTGCTGGTTCTTTTTCCTCTATCTCTGTTGATGGCTTGACAGGTTCTTCTAATTCCTCGTTTGTCAACACTTTTTGATGTTCTATCGTGTGTTCTTCCACTTCTTCTTCAATCATATTGATGACTCCCTCATTGTTTATTTCTGGAATTTTCCAGTGTTTTAAGGCCACGGTAAACTGCGGAAACCGAATCCACAGATACGGGATTTCTACTGTAATTAATTGATTAAAAATATAACAATTTGCTTTTACGACTTGACAGAGGTCCAAGTCAGACAGAAATGTCACAAGTTTCCTCGCCTAAGTGTTTACTATTTGTGAATTACATTCTGCATTTGCTTTTACATAGTGAAACTGATTGTTTGCACAGAGAATGAAAACTACATTATTAGGATTGCCTCAAAAAGCATATTATAATAGAGAATAGATGGAAAGAAGTAAACTCAGGAAAAAGTAGAAAAAATAAAGAAAAATTAGTAGTAACTTAACACGGTTGCTGCAGCAGGCTGTCAGTGAGAGGGTTATGTGCCCATGCAAACAAGTGTCCTGACATGACCATTTAGTAGCATTGTGCTGTTACGGATATATAACCTAATCTTGTAATATCCAGCTATTCATATGAATTGCCCAGCAGGATATTATAAAATTAAGATCTATATCAAGAGATTTACAGTAACTTGTAGCAGATTCATTCTACTTTAAATTGTTTATATGTAGAATAGAGACCAGGGCTTCAGAATGAAATGATTCCTAGAAGCATTAACAGATTTTCCTTCATTACCTTAATGGCCATCACCCACCATAACAGGATGACCCAGAAAAGGAAACAATTCTCCCATATTCATCACAGTTCAGATAAACATCCAACTTCAGCATCACCAGGCTTTTCTACAAAGTGCAAATACTACCATTCCTACTCCTAAGACTCAAGTCCAGTTAACTGTTTTAATCTGAATCCTTTCATAAATGTTACCTTGCTCATACACCAGCAGCATATGCATTAATAACCACTTGGCTCCCTTCACTGTCTAGTGATCTCACATAAGCATGCTGGATGCTTAATCCCCTTGATAATCAAAATATTTACCCTTCTTCCTCCAGCTGTTCTTGGAACAACCCAAACCCATGCCTTCCACCCCAGATATATGCCCCTTTGTCATTCTATTACACTCCCTCTCTAAATTCTCTAACCATTTAGCATCATTCCTCCAGCCCTCTGAATTTTACCCTTGATCTCGCATTTTAATTTCTCTCCTCCATTCCCTCTGCACAATATTCATACTACATATTACTGAGAGGTTGTTGAGGTGGTTCGAACATTTAGAGAGGATGGAACAAAATAGAATGAATTGGAGAGCATATAAATCTGTAGTGGAAGGAATGTAGGCTAGGGGTTAGCCAAGGAATGGTTGGAGGGAGGGGGTAAAAGAGGTTTTGTGTGGAACGGCCTGGACGTCAAGCAAGTCTGTGTGAGCGTGTTAGATAGGAGCTAGTGGAGACAAATGGTTTTTATGACTTGATATGCTGTTGGAGTGTGAGCAGCAAAGTAACATTTAAGAAGGGATTCTTTTTCGGGCCACCCTGCCTTGGTGGGAATAGGCCAGTGTGATAATAAAAAAATAATATTCAGGGAAACCGGTTAGCCGGACTTGAGTTCTCGAGGTGGGAAGTACAGTGCCTGCACTCTAGAGGAGGGCTATTGATGTTGCACTATTTTAACTGTAGTGTAAGCATGCCTCTGGCAAGACAGTGATGGAGTGAATGATGATGAAAGTGTTTCTTCTTTTTTGAGTCGCCCTGTCTTGGTGGGAAATGGCAAATGTGTTAATAAAAAAAAATTGCTCTCCGACATAACATCACCATTACCTCTAGGCTCCTTGCTGCAACATCAAAGCCTGTGCCTCACACTTGTATAAAAGTGTTGGTGTCACAATACTCTTGTATGTTCTCTTATAACTCCATAGGTAAGCTTCTTTCTTTGCGCATATTCTTCATCACATTACCTACATTTTTCCCCTCATCTATTATATGATTCACTTCATCTTTCATAGCATTATCTGCTGACATGTCCATTCCCAGATATCTCAATACATCTACTTCTTCCATATTCCCTTCAATTAGATATTTAATCAGTCATTGCCTAGTTTTTTTTATTACCCACCATCATCATCATTTTTTGTGTATGCTTTAAATTTCCTGTTTTTATATACCCTTCCAAATCTGTCTACAAACCCTTGCAACTTGTCTTCAGAAACTTTCAAATAGCAACTGTGACAACTCACACTTTTACAACTACATCTAGATTTTTTTTTTTTTTTTTTTTTTTTTTTTTAACAAGTCGGCCGTCTCCCACTGAGGCAGGGTGACCCAAAAAAGAAAGAAAATCCCCAAAAAGAAAATACTTTCATCATCATTCAACACTTTCACCTCACTCACACATAATCACTGTTTTTGCAGAGGTGCTCAGAGCACAACAGCTTAGAAGCATATACCTATAAAGATACACAAACATATCCCTCCAAACTGCTAATATCCTGAACCCCTCCTTTAGAGTGCAGGCATTGTACTTCCCATTTCCAGGACTCATGTTCGGCAATGTAAAAATAACCGGTTTCCCTGAATCCCTTCACTAAATATTACCCTGCTCACACTCCAACAGATCGTCAGGTCCTAAATACCATTCGTCTCCATTCACTCCTATCTAACACACTCACGCACGCTTGCTGGAAGTTCAAGCCCCTTGCCCACAAAACCTCCTTTACCCCCTCCCTCCAACCTTTTTCAGGATGACCCCTACCCCCCCTTCCTTCCCCTACAGATTTATACACTCTCCATGTCATTCCACTTTGATCCATTCTTTCTAAATGACCAAACCACCTCAACAACCCCTCTTCAGCTCTCTGACTAATACTTTTATTAACTCCACACCTCTTAATTTCCACACTCCGAATTTGTATTTATGACACAGAAAAAAAAAGACACCAGCAATCCTACCATTGTGTAAAACAACTACAGGTTTCCATTTCACACTCATTTGGAAGAATAGTAGTACCCCCCTGGGTGATTTGTCTACCAACCTACTGCCTAATTGCTCAAGTTCTTAAAGGGACAAATTGCTATAATAATTTTTTTTTACAGTGGATGATGATGACGACGAAGATGAAGAGGATGATGCTCCATTCCAGTAAGTATAAATAGTGTTTTTGTTCACAACACTTGTTTTTTTGTGCTGTCTCAAACCTTGGACATTTGTTGATGGTATTTTACTCTTTATGTATAAAGTAGTGATACATTTTGCTTTATTTTGCTTTTTAACTTGTATTCTCTGTCCTTTTTTCATTTTATCTTGCTCTGATGTCTTTTAGAAAAAATACCAGTAATTATACTAGGTAGACTAATTGTTTTTTTCAAGATTTTATTTTCATGAAAATTACCATATTAGATTTTTACTTGAAGATATATATTACTGGCAGTGAAGGCATTCATGACATATCATATGTGGACTAAAAAATTTTGCTTGTTAGTTAACCCTTTCACTGTCCATCACGTAGATCTGGATAATTGATGCCAGGTACATACTTGAAATTGGCCTCAAAATAGCAGAACTATTTGATTTTTGCCAATTTTCCTGAGGATGGGCAAGGATTGCATTACACCCCCTGGCTTGTTGTATGGGCTTTTACTAGGTCTGATTCCATTATTACGATGCCATAAACCATGATCAATCACTCCTGGTTATATTATCCAAGAAATAGGGTAATTCTTCTATTTTTTGTGTGTGATGGTGAATTCAGAGTGGAAGGAAAGTGTAATATAGGAGAAGCCTTTAGTGTCTGGAATGTCTACATTGTTTATTTTGGACTTTTTAATTTTTTTTTTTTTTTTTTTTTTTTTCATACCAGTGAAAAAGCTAAAAATTGGATTGAATTGAACAATGGAATATGCTTCAAATTGGACTTTAACCCTTTCAGGGTTGAGAGGCCCTCTCCTGAACTTGTTCTCAGGGTCGAAAATTTTTGGAAAAAAAAAATTTTTCTTGTGAAATGATAGAGAATCTTTTCTCGATCATAATGACACCAAAAGTATGAAATTTGATGGAAAACATACAGAATTATGCTCTCGCAAAGTTAGCAGTCTTGACGATGTTGACGCATCAGCGATTTCGCCGACTTTGAGCCCTACTTTCGGCCAATTCCAATGTACCAGTCGACAGATATCATAACTATTTCACTAAAACTTCATTTTTTCTATCGAATGAGTACAAGAAACCACCCATTTACCGATTTCAACTATCCAATAAAGTGGTCAGAAATTGGCAATTTTGCCAATTCACACAAATTTCAAAAGATGCCAATTTCCAAATATGGTCCAGAATAAAGAAGACAGACATTCCTGGCACTAAAATAACATTTCCTCTCTTCATTACTCACATCCCCAGGCCTTGGTTACATTTCTTTTGCTTTTCACTTTGAATTTTTATTCTCACAAAAAATAGATTTATGTTATGCAGACTACTGCATTAGTGTAGAAGTGGTGTAGAAATGGTATAAATAATATCAGTGTACTTGTGAAAAATTATGAGACTCACCAGTTGACGTGTATTGGACGCTGGGCACGATTTGTTTACTTTTAAAATTTGGTAAAAATCAAACAATTCTGCTACTTTGAGCTCAGTTTCAAGATACTTTTCATTATGAAACCAATCAAAATCATCTCACTTTCTGTAATATGTCTTCCATTCTATAAAATGAGACCAGGAAAACTAGAATACAACCATAAATACCATACGAAAATACACTGCAAAGTCGCTGTTTTAAACCAAAAACACGATCGGAGTTTTCTTTCTCATGCACTGTGTGCTGCAGGATTTTTTTTATACTGTGCACACTGACCACATAGACCTATTCTTTCATATCTAGGCCTAGCAGCTTTCTCTCCCTAGATTTGAAGGCGCTAGAATTTAGGCGTTCTAGTACGTCAATAATTCTGGTGCGTAAGCCGTACTAGTAAGTCGGAAACCCTGAAAGGGTTAAAGTTGGAACAATCACTGATGCATAAATTGTGCCTAGACCTCTAACTTTGTGCCTGTGTAATTCCACAAAGTTTTCCACCAAATTTAGTAATTTTGGTGTCATTACCTTCAGAAAAAGGTTTTCTACCATTTCATTTTTTTTTTTTTTAATATGGCCACAGTAAGCACTTTTAATTCAGGAGTTTGGACAGTGAAAGAGTTAAGGAGAAATAGTCACAACTAACTTACAGTATGGAGAGGAAACTAGGCAACATTTTGGTACACATACTAAAATTCATCTAAAGTTTTCTCTCAGAGTTGTAACTGCAGCTGCAGTTTTGACTTACTCTTTGGCAGAAATATTAATGAAAAATATGTAGATGAAATCTTGTAAAAATAATAAACATTAGCAGCTACAACACCAACATTGTACAGTATCAGTAATATACTATTTTACTAATGATTAGATATTATTCAGTAAAAAATTCATTGAGATAACAATGTAATGTATACCACTGGTAGTCAATGTAAAATATGCACTTTAGCAAGGAAGTAGTGGTCAATATTTTTACTAAATTTTTTCAGTTACCCAGCTGTCCCTAGGGTAAGGCATGTTTTATTTTTTTCACATCCTTAATTGTTTTTTTGCTCCTTCACTAAAGGCCAGCTATTGAAGAACCAAGAGAAACTGGCCGTCCCCGCCGCCGCCGCCGCTTGGAGCAAGTTCATGCAGATATTATTGGTCGTGTGGTTCGTCACAAGTGGTACATTGATGGAGAGGGGGTATATTGTACAGGTACTGTCTTGGGTATTTCTGCCCCAGGTACAGTGCCAGAGGAATCAGATGATGGCCAGTTCATTAATGGAACATGTTATGACATCCAATATGATGATGAAGATTTTGTGAGGCATTTGATTTTGGAAGGAGACTGGCAGCGAGGAGATGTCCAGGTCTTGGGCAGGGCCCCTAACCTATAATTATGTCAGACTTCACTCTTTTCTTTACAGTATAGTACATGTAGAGTGGCCAAAAATATTCTCTCACTTCTTAGTTCTCCATATATTTTACTGTAGTACTTAGAATTAAATCTTGGGTGGTAGACTTCATGTATGTTGGATAGTGTTTAACTATCATTTAGTATCAATTCTTAAAAATGTTTATTAATAAATTCCGTATTTTAGTTTGTTTAATAAATATAAAAATTAGAGCTTCAAATTATATATAAAAAGCAGAAATTTCTGTATTTACTAAGATAACTGAATCTTTGAAAATATTAAGAATTTTTTAGAAATTTTTAAATTTAAAATTTCTAAAAATGTTCTCATTTAGGAAAGTCTTGAAGTTTTGAAGGTCTTCCCAAATTTGAAATTTTCTGAATGTAGAATTCTGAATAAAAGGAGTATCTGATTGAATCAACACTATTAATTTTTATGAAGAATATTTAACAGCACTTACTTTGTCATAATGTTTTAGATATTTAAATTTTATATTTATGTATAGATTGTCTTTTATATTGTATATGTAGGTATAGTCAAGCATTTATCAAGGGTGAAAGAAGCTAAAATAAAATTTATGGAAATATTTAGGAGGGAGCCTCCCTATCAGATATACCAGAGGATGATTTGTACAAATGTGTAAATAAATATTTTTACATTTGCAGTATTTATTTTTATGACTACCTAAATGCAAAATGTACATAAAAAAAAGCTCTTCCTGCAAGAAACAAAAAACAAATTGCAGTATGTATACAGTACATAACTCGTGCAGCACATTAAATTTTATTTACAGTGGATCTCTGGATAACGTAATTAATCCGTTCCAGAGAGTGTGTCTTATACCGAATCTGACTTAATCTGAATTAATTTTCCCCATAAGAAATAATGGAAATCCAATTAATCCGTTCCAGACACCCAAAAGTATTAAACAAATTTTTTTTACTTGAAATATACATTTCCCTACACAGAAAACAATGAGACATGAAGAGTAAAACATTACTAAAATGACACTTAATTTTATTGAAGACTTATTGATAGTGATGAGATGGGAGGAGGGGAGAGGATGGAGGTGTACTATTGTTTGGAAGGGGAATCCTCTTCCAGAAAGACTTCAAGTACCAAGTCCTTTTCTGGGATTACTTCCCTTCTTTGTTTTGTAATGCTACTAGGACCAACTTGAGAGTCACTGCACACCTATAGCACTAAATATCTGTCCAGAGAGGTCTGTTTCTGGCATCTCTTTAAGATTTCCCTAAAATGGGACACAACATTGTCACTACAGATGTTGCCAGCACGGCCTGCAACAGCTCTGTCACCTGTTGGCCCATACTAGGCACATCCTTCACAAACCATCCCACTAACAGAATCGTATTTGCCCAACCCAATTTTCAATGCTTCCCAAGCTATAAGTTTTGATAATTCTATTCACTTATGCGCAAGTCCCACCCAGATCAAATCGTGTGTGGGGGAGTACCCTGGCAGGTGTGTGGAGAAGTGCCCTGGCTGGTGTGCAGGGAAGTACCCTGGCTGGTATGTAGGGAAGTATCCTGGCTGGTGTGTGGGGAAGTATCCTGGCTGGTGTACCACCATTACTACCACCCTCTACCACCACCACTTCCGTACCACAAACTTTTTTCTTGAATTTTAGTGTTTCTCTCCCTCTTTACCAAAGAGCTGGCACTAGAAGCTTTCTTTGGGCCCATGGTGGCTTATTTAGCAGTTACAAGCACTAAAAACAGTGGGATAATACAAAATGTATCGCATGTATGCGTGGAATCGTTTTCACTGGCTGGTAAACAATGGCACACTGGCTGTACATGGAGTGTCCGGGCCACTCACAGCGTGTGGACGCATTCGGGACAAATGACTAACCGAGTTCAGTCTCGTTAACCGAGCCAATATTTTGACATGAAAACGTTACTTAACCCTTTGACTGTCGAAGGGCCCAATCCTGAAGTGTCTCCTGGTGTTGCAAAATATTCAAAAAAAAAAAAAATTATTTTTCTTATGAAAATGTTAAGATTATTTTTCTGATTGTTTTAGTCCCAAAAAAAAAAAAAATTTCCCATGAGTACTTACCGAGATATAGAGTCCTGAAGTTTGCTGAAATTGATCTGCCAGCGGCGACTGCCGGTCACCCGGTAAACTTTGATTTACTTGTATTCGATGGTTTCTTGCTTTTTTCACTATTTTATTTTTTCACATAACTTTTGTGGCCTGTGAGACCAAATTATTGTACAATGTTCAAATATACACTCGTTGAATGTAACACAATTATAGCAAAAACACTCGTATCATTATAATGTTGCTAAAGCTTGTTTACACAAACAATGTAAACAAATGTTTATTATGATTGTTTTATAATATATATACATATGTACAATCACTGGACACTTTTCTAGAAGTGCTGCAGCTTGTGGAATTCTTTGAAACATGGGTATAAGCACAATGGTGTCTTACACTCCTCACACATAAAACGAGTGTCTCTGCGTTTTTGTGGGCGTTTTGTGGTATGTCCACAGACAAAACACCTCTTCTGAGCATTTTTCTTGGCAGTAGTAGCAGGCAGTGGTATGGGGTAGTGATCACCAGGCCTTAGACGAGAGGACATGTGTTGATAATTTTGTGGGCGCTGGTCTATTGCAGGTGTTGTTCTTGGTACTTGATATTATTTGTCTGATGACTGACAAACAAAATTCACCATATTTGGGTTTGTTCTTGGTCTTCAACTTATACATATTATAAGCATTCAGCATGGAAATGTCAAGAAAGATGGAAAAAAACAGTTTTATATACCACTTATAACTCTTGCGAACACAGTCAGCAAACCCAATCTGCATGTCACATTTGTCCACTAAGCGCATATTGAGGTTATAATCCATCACAGTTGCAGGTTTTACAATAGGTTCATTGATCTCTCTATTCTGCTTGCCAGTGTCTACCATTTCGTGTCGGTGAACTGATGTCAGCAGTGTGACATCACGTTTGTCATGCCACCGAAATGCCATGATGTCATTGGCAGCAAACATCTGCACTTCACCTCTACGACTGCCAGCATCGAACCTAGGCATATGTTTATGATTTCTACGCACTGTGCCACACACATCTGTCATGTTCACTCGCAAGAAATCACTGAGTATAGGGCTTGTGTACCAGTTGTCAGTATATAAAATATGCCCCTTACCAAGATATGGCTCCATCATTGTTCTAACCACATCACCAGAGATACCCAGTAACTTCCTGGTATCTTCCATTGTTTTACCTTCAGTGTACACAATTATATCCAAAACCAGACCAGTTTTGCAATCACACAGAACAAATAACTTTATACCAAAGCGTTTCCACTTTGTCCTCCATCAAAGTCATGGGGATTGGGAACAAACTCGTCATCTTGCTGCCAATCCCAGATACGGTCAGCTGGTGCGTTCTGGATATTGTAATGTGGTTGTGCAGGTTGTGGTTGTGGTTGTAGGAGTGTGGGGTCGGGCGAGGCTGGTTGTAGTTGTGCAGAGTCAGCAGCGCGGGTAGTAGCGTGGCCCGCTGCTGGTGTCACATGACTCATGCCACCATCACTATCACCACCACCGCCTGCTGCCTCACTCACATCATTTATACCCATCGTAACAATATCGTCATCTTCACTATCAGGACGTGGTGTAGGGCCACGGGATGTGCTCCGAGATGTACTCCTTCCTCTTGGAAGAGCATATGGCACACTACCAGACCGCATGCGACGTCGTACATACTGCCGCTTCACTGGGGAATATTCACCCTCACTGTCACAACTAGAACTGCTTTCAATAACCTTGAAATCACTATCACTATCACTTGCACTGCTCACATCTGAGTCTTGTACACGGGCAAATAGTTTCCTCTTTCGTCCTGGTACAGGAGAACATGAACGAGCCGGCCCAGCACCAGAGGTGGAAGGTTGTGGGTCATCTGGGTTTTCATCACCAATTATGTTATCCTGGGTAATTTTCTCGGTCACACCCGCTTCAAAACCAGGGAATTCACTTTCACTGACACTATCATCACTGTTTGAGCTATCACTTGGGAACAAAAGACCTCCAATCCGCCGAGGAGTGAGGAACTTCTTACCGCGAGGCATGGTGAAAATGGACTACCAACAAGGCGTTCCCACAATGCACCGCTGAGTCCCAGATTTTTTTCACAGGGTGCACACCGACCACTGAGACCCATTCTCTCTCGTGTAGGCCTACCAGCCCTCTCCCGCTTGATTTGAAGCCGCTAGAATTTATGCGTATAGATACGTCAAACACGGTATCTCCCATGACGTATATATACAACCGCGACAGTCAAAGGGTTAGGGTTAATCCGATTGTTGCTTAATCCAATGACATCCTGGGGTCCACTGTATTTTATAAATTTTGAAATCCACTAAAATTTATTCATGTAAGCTATGAAAATTGGAGGGAAGTAGGGTAAAAGGTATTTGAATGTCCAACAGGCTGGTGTGAGCATATTAATTTGAAGTGAGTATAAATAAGTTTTTTTTATGGTTTGATGCGATGTTGAAATGTGAGTAGGGTATCCTTTGTGATGGGATTCAGGGGACATCGGTTAGCCAGACTTGAGTCTTGGAAGTGGGAAGTACACCACCTACTAAAGGAAGGATAAGGATGTTGCAGTTTGGAGGGTCATTTGAACTGTGATGTCAGCACAGTTATTGCAAAACAGTTGAATGAATGATGGTGAACGTATAGTATTTCCCCTATTATTTTGAGGGGAGGGTTACCCTACTTAAATGGGATGCAGCTGCTGTGTTAAAAAGGTATTATCAGTAGTTTTATATAGATTCAAGCAATGGGTGTGTGAAAGAATGTATGTGAAATTACCCATACCTATTTATAGCTACAGGTATAGTACTGTTCTCTTTTTTTTTACGAGCTGTCTCCCACTGAAGTAAGGTGACCCAAAAAAAAGAAGAAACACTTTCACCATCAGTCACTCCATCACTTTCTTGCCCGAGGGGCACCATCACTACAGTTCAAAGCTGCAGATATCCCCACCCTTCATTCAGAGTGCAGGTTCTGTAATTCCCACCTCCAGGACTCATGTCTTGCTAACTGGTTGATTCCTATGTTACACGCTCATACAAGCCTCCTGGATGCTCAAGCTCCAAAAACTCAAAGCTTCTTTTATTCCCTTCTTCCAACAATTCCTGGAAGGATCCATACCCCTTCTGCCTTCCACCCAATATTTATACACCCTCTTTTTTATGTTATTCCTCTCCATCCTCTCTACATACCCTAACCAACAAACCCTTCTTAGTCCTCTGACTTAAACCCTAGGTGACCCCTCACTGTTTTTCTAATAATCTATGCCTTGAGTTCTCTTCATGTTATTCACACTGCACATTGCTCTCCAACACGACATTACTTCTTGCTGCTGCCTTCTCACGGCATCATTCAAAAACTCATGCCTCACACCCATATAACAGTGTCGGTACCCTTATACTTTGTTTGAGTACATTTCATTTTTTTCTGCCATAGATAAACTTTTCTTTTCATAGATTCCTCAATACACTACTCGTTTTTTTCTCCATCTGCTCTTTGGTTCATTTTGTGTTTCATAGAACCATCTGCTCATATGTTTACTCCGAAATATCTAAATACATCCACTTCCTCCATATTCCCTCCC